TGTGCGGGGCAAGGAAGAGGGGCAGCTGGCGATTTCCCAGAGAGCACAGCAGGCAGGCAGGACAGGGAGGGCTCTGCAGCTCAAGCCGTGCTCCCCTAGAAGAAGATGACGTCTTCCTTGCCGACTTCCTCCTTGCTGAGTGGCGTGAGGGGCTGTGGCGTGGGCAGGGAGGGGAAGTACTCGGGGGACGTGTCAGCCGGGCCTGGGCTTGGAGCCTGGCAGGAGAGATCTGGAAGACAGGTGGGTGGTGGAGTGAGCAGCCACCAGGCACTGGGGGGGGCCCTGCTGCCTGGGTGCTGAACTCACCTGGGGGTGGTGTGGAGCCGTGGCTGCTGAGCCGGACAGGACTCAGTGAGCGGTGGCCCCGAGAGGCACACTCGTCCTTGCCCGTGAGTTTGCTGAAAAAGAGCTGCTGCTTCAGGTCGAAGGAGGCTGACAGAGGGAAGAGGGCACAGCCTGAAGTGCTCAGCCTCGCTTCAGGCACACAGCAGCCCCCCACCTCTGCCAGGGCCTCCCCGACTCACCTCCCACAGCACCTGTTCCAGGGGACAGACCCCACTCAGTAAGCCCCAAATGTAGTGATACAAAAGCAGGGAGAACAGTCCCCAACTGACCCCTGAAAGCCTCTGGAATAAGCCAATCTCTGGACCCAGTTGTCCTGGGACACAGGTCCTGCTCCTTAGGAGGGCCCCAGGAAGGGCTTCCCTGACCAACATCTGTATACTCACAGCACCCAAGGGAGACCCAGAGCTTTATCAGAGAAACACCCACTGTGGGGTGCTCTGAGGCAAGGGCCTAGTGTCCCCTCTGTGGAAGGAGGACACTGGGTAGAGCCCGGCACCTAGATCAGCACCCAGTGTGGGCTTGGTGGGGAGCGTTAGCATCAGTCCCCAATGTCCCCAAGTGATTAGGGCGCTCTGACTTCTTGCCTCTGGTGACCACTTCCCAGTCCAGGTTGAGCGGCTGGGTAGGCACTGGAGGTCACCTACCTCCCAGATCACCCATTCCAGAAGACTGAGCTTGGCCCCACCCTGCCCCCAAGCACAGAACTCACCCGAACTCTCACTGCGCTGGGAGCCCCTGTTCTTGCTGCCCTTGTCCTTGCCGCCCTTGGTGAAGGCAGCCAGCTTGGTGGGGATCTGCTGCTGCACGGCCGCCTGCCTCTGGATCTGGTTGGTGGTGCTGAGCAGCTGGATAGGCACATCGCTCTTGGCCGGCCGGCTCTCAGGCGGGGCGCTGTCCCGGCGAGCTACCTCAGGGCGCTCAGGCCCTTCCAGGCCTTCGCCGTTGAAGCTGAGGGGGTGGCTTGGGGGCTGGACCTGAAGGAGGGACAGAAGGCACATCCCAATGACTGCTCCTCCTGGAAGCCCTTCCTGGCACGGACAGCGAGGTGCTCTCAGCAACACCCACTCCACAGGGCTTTGACTAGGGCAGGGCCTTGCCCACCCACCCTGATCCTGGGCCAGAGCCTTGCAGATCTTAGTTGGGAGGGTCTGATCTGGGAGTAGAGCCCTGCGCTGGACCCAATGGAGCTGCCATGCACTGCCTGTCCCCCAAAAAACATACACACTGTGCCTGCAGCCCCAACACGTGCACTTGCCTGATTACACTCACACATTCCCTCTTCTACCAGCACATTTGTGCACACACACTTTCACCCACACCTGCAGGCTGCACTCTCCCTTGCTCATCTCTGTGGGCAGCTCGGGTGGCAGTGCCCCAGGCGCCGTGTTCTGCTTCTTGAGCCTCCGCAGCTGCTCCAGCCGCTCGTGCTCGCGCTGCACAGTGCGCTGGGCCTCGCGAAGCCGTTCCAGGTCGTGCTGGTAGGCCTGGCGCTGCTGCTCCAGCTCGGCGCGCTCCTGGGTCAGCTGCTCCTGCAGCCGCGCTGCCTCGCTCTCGCGCTGCTGCAGGCGGGCCCAGGCCAGGTCCAACTCCTGCAACTGGTGCTCCCGCTGGCGCTCCCAGTGCTGCTGCTCTAGCCGCAGCTGACTCTGCAGCTTCTGCAAACCCGCCAGCTCCTCTCGCTGCTTCTCGGCGTTGCGCTGCCGCTCCTGCTGCAGCAGCAGGTTCCCGCGTGAGGACTGCAGCTGGAACTGCTGCTCGCGCTCCTGGATGGAGGCCCTCTGCATCTCCACATAGCTGTCCTGCTGGGCGATGACCACCTGGGGCAAGTGGACCCATGAGGGGCTGCGTCCTCTCCTGGATCCCAACCTCAAACAGGAAAAGGGCAGTGCAGCCTGCCATTGCCCACCCAGCCCTGTACCTGGAGGCTGAAGAGCAGCTGGGACAGTGTCTGGATTCGCTGGACAAGCTGTGGAGAGAAGGGGTGCTGGCTCTCTGCCTCAAGCCCTACTGGTGTGTATGCCAGTCCCCGGGGAGATGGACAAGCCCTGAGCCTACCTCCAATGCTGGGATAGTGGGCAGACGGGGGCCAGACTCAGTGGCCGGTGCCTCCACCTGTGGAAACACAATGTCAGAGCACTGAGCTGCTAGGGAATCGAGCCAGGCTCACTACTGATGAGATGCTGCCTTAGACGGGGCAGGCGCTGCCTAGTTGTCTGGAAAATGAGGGTGCAGGGTGGCTTCAGGAGGTGGGAGGGCAGCTGCCATGGGCCCACCATGCGAAAGGCTTGGAGGGAAGTGGGCCTGGCCACTGCACTGACCAATGGCAGCTGGCCTCGGACTCTGAGCACACCGACCGGCCCTGCTCTCGCCCCGATGCCTGGCAAGGGTGGGCCTTCTGAGTTGAAGGGGAAGGAGCAGCCAGCACGACTTTGGCATCCGTGGTTGTGAGGACACTAAAAGCTCATGGTCCCCACATGGTTTCTCACCTGGGGGAGAGGCCATGGTACTGCCCTGAGCTTGCCCCCTCCCCAGCCTCCCACTGCTGTGGGGCCTGCAGGAAGAAACATGGAGGTGCACTCCCTGCACGTGAGCCTGAGCTGAGACATCACTATTCACCATGAAGAGAATGGCATACATCACTGTCCACTGTAAGGCGGAAAGACTTACATAGTCTGTTTACACCTGCCAACAATTCAAAGAACCTGGGCCAACTCTGTACTGGCTCAGGACTGTCCCAAGAAAGCAACATACCGCCCACGGTTCTTCCTTGGAGGCCCCTGGGGTGTCACCGAGTTGCACGTCCGGACTGCTCACGGGGTCTTGCCAGTCTCGGGGGCTTAGGTCATCGCTACACACCTTCTTCCTAAAACTGTCATCTGAAAACCCCAAGCCAGGCATGTGAGGATGCTTGGGGTTCCGCAGGGGTCTAGAAACCCACCCCAGCCCAGGTAGGAAATTGTGGCTGGGTGGCTGCCTCAGGCCGGAGCTGAGATCAGCAGGAACAGGTTTGGGTGCTGTCAAAACATGACCAACAACACTCAGAAGGTCCCAGAATCCTGGCCAGAGAGTTTACAGACGTGGACAGGCATAGCAGCACAGACGCCAAACAGCAAACGCCTGGCTTTGCCAAGGATGTGTGCAAAGCGGACATCTGAAGAAACCAAACCTCCTGCTGCTGCTGACCTTCCCGAGGCCCCAGAAGCCCAGCCCTGGGGAGGAAGCACCACTCACTCTTGCCGGGGTCGCTGGCACTATCGTAGTCTCCAAAAGCCTCTGCCCTCGGGTGCAGGCCCACAGCCGCATCCTCATCGGCTCCCCGGCCACCAGTGCCGCCCAGCCCCCTGCAGATCAGGCTCTGGATGTCCTCAACTGTGGAAGGAGGCAGGAGGGACCCAGTCACTCTGTGGAGCCACACTGTGAACGTCAGGGTGTGGTGGAGGACCAGGGCAGGGGACTGTGAGGGACTTCGGCCCCACTGGTTCTGCCACCCCCTGCACAGGTACTCCAACCAGGACAGGCCAATCCATGTCTAACGGAGACCAGCCTGTGGGGCAGCACTGGATGGGGCATCTTGGACCCTGGGCCTGAGGGTGTGCTGGGTCCAGTCAGGAACTCAGTGTGGCCACCTCCTGTGTGATGACAGTCATTCAGAATTGGGGGCCACGGGAGGGCAGACTTGAGGACAGGGCTGGTCACACGAGGTGCTCTAGGGCAAACAGGCTTTGGCCAGGTGAGGAGGTTGGGAGAATATTCCAGGCCGAGGCACAGGACATGAGGGGCCTCAGGGGGCCAAGAACAATGGCCATTGGAGAAATGGGAGTAAGAACATTGCTAAAGCTGGGGAAGCAAGAGTCCATGTGGGACCCTCTCTGCCGTTATCTTCACAGTGAAGGTGGGGGGCTGTGTCTATCTTGTTTGTTGTTGAAAGAGATGTGCAGGCTGTCCTTCCGGAGTCAATGAGCACTGGCCACCTGGCCTGACATGTCCTGGTCAGCAGGGGGCTCAGTAGCTGCATGGAAACTGCCAGGGGCTCTGGTATGGACCCTGACTGCTCCATGAAGCAGGGTGCACAGAGGGGCAGGCCACCTACCAGCCAGCGCCCTTCCATGGCTGCTGGTGCATTTTCCCACTAGACCCTAGGCTAGCTCCTAGGAGGGAGCCCTTGGAAATGACCTACCCAATGTGGACGTGTACATTTTTCTGGATATATCATCAGTGACCCACCACTCAGAAAGAGTAACCTCTTAAATGTTGGGAACTCGTCTCAGTTGACTTTAGATCCCTGGGGCCCAGGACAGTGCCTTGCATGTGGCAGGCACTGAGGAGCTTGTCAAATGTGTGAGAAGGTGGTCCAAGTCTGCAACCAGGGGCGTGCACTGGGTCGTATCTAACGGCCCTCCGGCTCTGATAGGCGCTGGTGGAGGTTAACGCTCCTCTGGGAGCACAGCTGCCCAGTCAGATAGAAGTGTGCCCCAGAGGGGGTGGCAAGTCAGCCACACTAGGCCATATGCCCAGCCTGGGGTCCCCCAAGGAGGCTACCAGGGCAGAATGGTGCTCAAGAGAGAGGCGCTGCCCCGTGAGGACCCTGGGGTAAGACTACTTACTCTCAGTCATGGCTGACTTGAGGATCCACTCTCCCTGCAGGTTCTCTGAGAGGTCCCCTCCGCGGAAGAGGAGGGGGGAAGGAGGCAGGTCTTCCAGCCCGGTCATTTTGGCCATCTCCTGGTAGATCAGCTGCTTCTCCCTGAGGCTCTGTGCAATCTGCTGGTCTTTCATACTCAGTCGCTCTGCAAAGCCAGACGGAGGTGGCACTCAGGCTCTCTGGGACTTTCCCCCACGAGTTGGCACTGGGGGGACCTCACAGAGTGGGGCTGGCCTCTGGGGACCCCTGCTGGCCCCGAGGTAAACTGCTCCCTCCATCCAACCTTTGTGAGGCAGTGAGGGCCCGGCCCTGTCTCTGATCACTTCCCTCAGTTACAAATATCAAACACAGCGGGATGTGGCGAGACCATTAGCAGGTGCAATCCCCCAGTCTGGGACAAACAGAGAGCCTGGTCGGATTGAGTTTTCTAATCTTGAAAGTCCTCCTCCAGGCATTTAGGACAAACTCCTTCTTACAAGTCTTCCTGTTTTATACTTTTACAGCTGCCGTGACTGAGGCTTATTTTATTAAGACTTCCTCACTGGTGACTGTTAGTACATCTGTATCAGTATATTCAGACAAAAGACTATCGGCTCCAATCATTTTCCAGTTGATCCTATTCTATTCTGTAGGCAAATACTCACGTTACATGCAAAAACAGAATGCTGTTGCCTCCCTCCCAATCACATCTTCCTTCTGTCTTCCCCCCAGGACCCTGGCTGGGCCTTCCAAGGTGAAGGTGGTAATGCAGAGCTAACGGAAACTGGATGGCCCCGCCTGGCTCCTTTTTTGGTTTGTTTTTTAAATCTTCGCCAGAGGATATGTTTTTATTGATTTGAGAGAGAGAGAGAGACATCGATATGAGAGAGAAACATCGACTGGCTGCCTTCCATACGCGCCCTGACCGGGGATCAAACCCGCAGCCTAGGTATGTGCCCTGACTGGGACTCAAACCCACGACCTTCTGGTGCACAGAAAATTGCTCCAACCATCCGAGCCACCCGGCCAGGGCTGGCTCCTGGTTTTGATGGGAATGTACCTGATGTTTCAAAGTTAAGGGTGAGTTCAGCTTTTGACCCAAGATGGGAAAGAATACCTTCATTTAAAAAATCTTTGTATTCCTGATTCACTAAGAATCTTGGGAATGAGTGACGACGAGCCATTATTGTGTGACTCTACGGTGCCCATGCAGGACACAGACTTCATTTCCGTCTGAGGAAATGATGCGTTAGAATGAGATGACATGAATACTATGTTAGGATTATACTTGCAGGGTCCAATGGGATTTCCTCCCCTTTCTTTTGGACATTTTAATTAATATCTTTCAATGTGCACCTCCCCATAAAGAAAAATAAAATATATATTACCCAGTTTTATGTACTTATTGCTTAAATGTTACCTACTTTAAAATAATGAACTTAGTGAGAGGGAGACCAGAGTACTAGGAACTGTTCTTGGCAATGACCTGGCTGAAATCTCACAGGAATCTACTGAAACTGGGAAGAGAATAAATAAGCACAATGCGCCGCATTCACACAATGGACTATTACTCAGTTGTAAAAAGGAAGGAAATTCTGACACCTGCTGCAATGTAATGGACCCTGAAAATACACTAAGTGAAATAAGCAAGATGCAAAAGGACAAATGTTTTATAACCCCATTTATACAAGGTCCCTAGAATAGTCAAATTCATAGACAAATGAGGAAGGAACAGGGAGTGACTGCTACCAGGGAAAGGCTTTCTTTTGAGGTGACAAACATGGTCTAAAATTAATTGTGGTGATGGCTGTGATATCGTGATAAAAACCATTGCATGGGATACTTCAAATGGGTGAATTACATGGTGTGAGAATTGTATCTCAATAAAGTAGTTAAAAAATTAAAACAGAGAGGAGAAAGCCAAGGTCCTGGCCCAGGGCTGGGCTGGGTCTGCCTGGCTGTGGAGGTGGCTGTGGGGTCCTGTTCTATCATCACAGGACCCCTGTGTGGTTCTTCCGTATGTGACCCGGGACACTCACAGTGAGCTCTTCCCTGAATGAGGGCTTTGGGAGGAGGTGCTGTGTGTGGCAAAGCAGTCGTGTTTGGAAGGGGCTCAGGGACCTTGCGTGCCACTGTCTCCCTTTCCCACCCACCAGAAGACCACGGCTGCACCTCAGGACAAAGAGTGGCTACAATGCCCTGCGGAGCTGGAGGCCACGGGGCAGCCCACAGGGACTCCCGGGCACCTGCGCAGTGGCTCGCTCCGTGGCCAATCCCAACGGGACAGAACAGAAATGCCACTGGTGGGCCTGGGCCTGCCTAAGGAGTGCTCCACAGCGCTATGTCACCATCATTTAGGGGGCACATCTATGGGCATGGGGGTCGAGACTCCCCCCCCTTACCTTGGAAGTCCCTCAGCCTCAAGGCGCGGGCCTCCACCACCTTCCGCTCCTCCTCGGGCTCGATGAGGGGCCCTTCCTCCTCATCCGGGCAGCTGCAGGGAGAGGAGCCGGGGGTGAGCCTCGCAAGCCGCCTGCCTTGGACATGGCGCCAGAGCTTTATCCGCAGCACCGGCTGCGAAAGGGTCTCATTTGGTGATAGATTTAGCTTGTTAATGGTGCAGGGGGAAAGGGCAGGGAAGAGAAAGACAGCCAGTAGCATTTACCTAGTTCAGTGTTGGGAGGTATCAGCCACAGGTTTTATTCATTCATTCATTTAAAATACCTTGAAAGCCATGAGACAGCTTTTAAAATTTTATGTATTGATTTAGAGAGAAAGGAAGGGAGGAGGGAGAGAGGGGGAGAGAGAGGGGGGGAGGGAAACATTGATTTGTTGCTTCACTAATTTATACATTCATTGGTTGATTCTTGTATGTGCCCTGATTGGAGTTCAAACCCACAACCTTGGCTTATTGGGACGATGCTCTAACCAACTGAGCTACTGAGCCAGGGCTAGCCATAAGTTTTAAATGCTTGCTACCATTTGGAGGAAGAGACTGGGGACAACTTGTTTCCTAGGGACCTGTTCAGTACGGGAGTCTGCAAACCTAGCAGAGTTGAAGTTGAAGATGAAGGGAGCTCTAAGCAGGCTAAGGCTCTGGGAAGTTTCCAGGCACAAAGAGGGAGCACGCCAGGCTGTGTAGGTATGGGGCTGGGCCACCTTTTCCTGTCTGTTGGGTGAACCAGGAGCCAGGCATGACATAGAGCCACAGGCCTGGGGTCCTGAGGGGTGCCCAGGCCTAGGAGGAAGGACAGAATGCCATGACCTGCTCCAACAGGTCTGGCCCCAGATGGGAGTGGTGCGTGGGGAGGCGGGTGCTGGCAGCAGCGACAGGGTGGGGACACCCTGCATGTCAGGTGGAGTGTCCTACCAATACAGAAGTTAGAGCTGCTTGGCCCCATGTCCCCTGGCCAGAGACATTGGGGCCTTTTTAGCCTGACAGGTTGAGGCATTGTTGTAAGGGGTCAGAATGGTGCCATCTGTCCCCTTTAAATAAAGAGATGAAAGAAGCACCAAGGTAGAACATGGGAGAGGAGAAGCAAAGGAATCTCCTGTCTGCCTGATTTCTGGTGCTCTCTTGGGCAGTTCAAGGTCAAAGCCATTTGCAGACTATCTAAGCCAGGGGTGGGGAGAATCTGGCTGGAAATCACTTGGTCTGGCCCTGCCAAGGCAACAGCAGGCAGGACTTCAATAAATCTAGGAGGTTTTTTCATAGCTAATTTTTAAGTTGATAATTTTGTATGGCCGGGAATGATGTTATAAATATCCAAAGGGCCCTTGGCAGAAAAAAGGTTCCCCAGCCCTGATCTAAGCCAAGAGCAAAATAGCCAGCAGAGGGAACACAGGCCCACTCACCTCTCAACGGCCATTCGGATATGGGCCATCCAGGTGTTTCTCTCTTCTTTGGAACTGGTGTGAATCTGGTACATCTCAGGCCCTTGCAGGGAGGCGCTGATCAGAAACATGGCCTTTTCCTCGTTGGCTACTTCCCTCACAATGAGCTTTTGTAGTGAGATGACGGGGCGCTTTGAGTCCTAGATGGATGGGACATGGTGGGGATGGTCACCCTTTACCCTACTGCAGGGCGCCCACTTATTTTCAAACAATTCAAAGCAGAAATATTTTACCATCTGGGGAAAAGGACACTATTGCAATGACACCCTCGTATCCTTTAATGTGTCTGTTTAATGTGTTTTATAATCAGTAACACATGTACACAGTACAAAACTCAAAAGAAACAAGAGTAGATAGGATATACTGTAATAATAAATAAACTTTTCCCCTGACCGTGTGTCCAAACACCCAGAGCCAACCAGCATTCCCAGCCTGTGTCCCACAAGACATAATGCTCCAATGGACCAGTTAAATATACATTTTTAACTGGTTGCTATGGGCTGAATGGTGTCCCCTCAAATCTCTGTGTCGAAGCCACCCCCCCAGCACTCAGAAAGTGACTGTATTTGGAGACAGGGGCCTTACATGGGTGATTAAGTTAAAATGAGGTCATCAGCTGGGCCCTAATCCAATCTGACTGGTGTCCCTATAAGAACAGGCAGACACACAAGGGATGACCATGGGGGGACACAGGGAGCAGACGCCAAGCAGATGGCGGCATCGCATCCCGCTCAAGTGCAGGCACAGGCCGCACACACAGGTGTGCTGAGTTAAGGCGGGTCACGGTTTGACAAAGCAGCCTGACCCCACTTGTGACGGGAAACCTCTTGAGAGGCTCTTTAAAAATCTCTGGGAAAGGTACATGATTTCACAGTTCAGTCTTAGAGGCTGTCTTCCTTGCCAGGTGAACCTGGAGGCAAACCAGTTCTTTGAGCTCCTGTCATGGGGGAAAGACTGACACCTTCCCCCTGCAGTGAGGTCTGTGCGGTTAAACATGGAAGGACCTGGGCGTCACCTAGGCGAGCAGGGGAGGAAGCCAAGTCCTGGTAGACATGGGCCGGGAAGGATGGCTGGCATCCCAGCCTCACTCCAAGTCCACTGGCTACACAGAGCTTACCACAGGGTGATCCCACAGGTCTTCCAGGGCCAGAGTGCTGTGGGATCAACATGGTCATAACATAAGGGGTGGTGGCTGCCTGAGCCCATTCTCAGTGACGAGCCAGTAAGTCCCTGCAAGAACAGAGGGGCCTTCCTGGCAAGGATGCTGGGGCCTGTGAGAGTCTGAGTGTTTGTGACAGAAAGAACCACAGAAATGCAGAGAGGTGGAACTATAGAGATGTCAGCATGAGCCCTCGAAGCCTAGTCAGACCAACTAGACAGGACCTCTGTTCTTGGAAAATTCTACTCCTGCCTTGCTGGAACCTTCTGGCCCTGGGGAGGACCCAGGACGACGGGTGACTTACGGATGGGCTTTGCTAGTCACTTGCTCTGTGCTGTTCCCGTCCACCCCTTCGCCCAGCGCCTTCTGCAGTCAGCTTTAAAGCAGCTCTCTGTGTGAAGAGAGGGACACATACCACAGAGGCAAAGACGTACTTCTGATCCTTTTCTTGCAGCAGCAACAGCACATCGGTCAATAAGACGGCAAGGACATCTAAGGAGAGAGGACCGGAAAAAATGTTTGGGGTGACATGGCCACGTGGATCCTGCTGGGCAGCCAGGGAGACACAGAACTTCAGGAGGCCTTCAGTACCATGGGAAGGAGCCCAGGTCTCTCTCAGCCCAGAGCCATGATTCTTCTGCAGGAGCCTGAGGGCTTCCTTTCTACCTCTTGCCTTCCCACCACCTCTCTGGGTTTCAGTACTTCTCTTGTGGCACTGCAGGCCCTGTGTCCTGATGTCCCCTGTTGTCATGGGGCCTGCTGGGTCTGGTCTTTGAGGTTCTCTCACCATGATTTCTCAAATTCGAACTCACCTCCCCACCCTGTTCTACCTGCCTCAGGCTGCCTGGGACCTGAGCTGCGGGATGCTCACAACGTGCCTCCTACCATCGCACTCTTCTCCCTTCGTGCTCCTGAGCTTCCTTCCAGGTGGTAGCAGAATAGGCGTCTTGCCCCTGTACATACATCTCACAGCCACCCGCACAGCAGAGCTTTTGCACTTGGTGCAAATCCTGAGCATATTTCCGACATGAGCACTCACGTCATGGTAAATACGGCCTTCTTTGGCAGAACCAGACCCCGTCGCAATCCACCCTCTCCTGGGGTAATTCTCTTCACTGCAGCCTCCTGGCTTCCTCGAAAGGATTTATTGCACTTTTCACTAGTTTTCTGTTTACTGGTCTCTCTCTCTCTCTCTCTGCCCACTGACTGGAGCTGCATGAGGGCAGGGGGCCTTCTACCACCCACCTCGGGGCCTGGCACACAGGAGGCACTAAACTGTACCTATTGGACAAACTAGGAACAAACACATTCTGTCGTCTGACCACCTGAAGATTGTGCCACTCCCTTTAGGACCTTTATAGATGCTGATGCCAGTGGACAGGTCAGGATGCTTCCAGAGGCTCATGAAATGGACAGGAAACTCGAGCAGGAGTCCTGAGTGCTCTCTGGTCTCGAACTGTACCACAGATTTTCAAAGCTAGGCACAGAGCACACCCTGAGCAGTGACTGGGATGTTTGGGAACACTGAGATCAGCAGTCTGGATGGTGATTCCTACCCATACCAGGCTCTTTGGTGGTTGGGCCCACTGCAGGTGCACCCATTACGGCTCATTTGGAAGGAACCCTGGGGCCTCACAAAGCTCTGGGTTTCTATTCAGACGTCAGTGAGTCCCATGCCTCTGTGTGCATCACACCATCTCAGACATTGGAGGAAGGGGGCACTGGTGCGACCATCTCATTCTCACTACACTCCTGGCTGCCTGTGCTCATCCTACTCTACATGCAACCTCCCTTCGGCCACGAAGCAGCCAGGCTGCAGTGGTTCTGCGCCAGCTGGCACCCACCAACCCAAAATGGTGCTCACTGATCCAGAGGGCACCCCCACTCCAAGGTGGCAGCACCAATTCAAGAAGGTGGTGCCAAACCAAGAAGGTGCCACTGCTCTAAGATGGGAGCCACTACTCCTAGATGGTACCCCAGATCCCAGACAGCGCCACCCTCCAAAGTGGTGCTGCCCCTCCGACCAGCGGCTGGGGGGCTTTACCTTTCAGGCGCCCCGACGTGCTCCTCCAGCACACCGGGCCCTCCAGGTGCAGCTGCCGCTGCAGCATGTCCTCCTTGCGGAAGGGCAGCCCGTTCTTGAGCTTGCTGGAGGACTTCAGGTCCATCTTGCCCGCGATCTCTCTGAGGCGCTGCCCTTTCTCGCACTCACTGACCTTGGTGTCCACTTGTGAGATAATGTCTTTGATGAAGTTCAGGGCCTGGGTCAGGTCCTCGTAGTCCTTGGAGCCAGCTGCCACACACACAGTTAGTGCCTTCCTTTCTCTGCGCTCATGGACATGACAGGTGGACACGCTACGGGGTCCATGAGGTGCACTCCCTGCGACCACTACTTGGAGGGCCCTCAAGAATCACCCCCCACCTTGAATTTCCCAAGACATAAACGTTTCTTCAAAATAAATGCAATAGCCCAGCGTTTGGTTTTTACTAAGACAGAGTTTCTGTTGAATGCAGAAGCTGAGGTGCCAGTCAGGTGATAAAGACAGCCCTGCACACCTCCGTCAGCCACTCCTTGGTAAACAGATTCCTCTGTGCCCTCCAACTCTCCGTAAGACTCCTCCCACCTCCTGCTGTGACAAAGAGCTAGGGACATGGTTTTCATGGCAGGGAAACCTCATTCTCCTGTGGCTCAAATCCCCTGGAGATGAGGGAGGTGTGGTCAGCACTGCCCTGGTGTCTGATAATTCCCAGCTGGGCTATGTGCCCTTTCTCCTCTGCCCTCCATGTTATAGGCATGTCCCTCTTCTGGTCCTGGTCATGGACTCTGTGCCTGTCTGGGCCACTCAGGAGTGACCTTAACAAGGGCACTCTCTACATCATTCATCTACTCTCCAGGTGCCTGTGCCAGGGCTGGAGGAAACGGTAGGCAAATGAGACTCAGTATCCATCTTTCTTTGTTGGAAACCCCAGCACCCAACACAGTGGGTTCGTATGGTGGCAGCTCAGCTCATGATTGCGAAGCTCAGCTGAATCCAGAGAACCAGGGACAAATCAGAGAGGGGTACTTATCCAGTCCACTGCCAAAAGGGGGCAGGGAGACAGAGACCACCCCCAAGCACAAATGGGCAAGGCAGTGAGGCGGAGACTATACCTTCTGTGTTCTGAATGATGCGTTCCACCAGCACGGGGTACTTGGTTATGCGCTGGGTGACCAGAAGGATGCACTCCTGCACGCCAAGGCGTCTCACGATGGAAAAGTTGCTGATTTTCTATGAAATGGAAAACAAAACCATGACATACTGACATTTTATCTCCTGCCAAATCAGTACATTAAAAAAAAAAAATTAAAAGACATGTTTTTACTGATTTTAGAGAGAAGAAGGGAGAGGGAGAGAAATATTGATGGGTTGCCTCCTGCACGCCCCCTAGTGGGGATAGAGCCAGCAGCCTGGGCATGTGCTCTGACCGGGAACTGAACTGGCAACCTCTCAGTGCATGGGACCATGCTCGACCATCTGAGCCACACCAGCCAGGGACCAAATCAGTGGATTTAACGTGGTCAGATACGGAGGCTGGGGGCACCTTTCCCTTTTGGCTGATGGGGACCTTTTCTTTGCCATTTCACAGATATTTAAAAGCAGGGATCCCCTGCAATATACATAAAGGCAACAAAGGCAAAGACAGCCTTGCTTGTTGTAAAGAGGGCCCTGAGAGCAGCTAAGAAGAAACCAGAACCAGCCAGGGGGCAGTCATGGGAACCACCTGAAGAGCTGTATCAGACACCCATGTGTGTGAAGATCCCAACGCTGACTGACGGCTGTTAGAACCTTCCAGAACTAGGCTGGGCCTGTGTCTTCTAAACCCGCTCCCTGCTGGCGTCTGATGCACACCTCTGGCTAAGCACTCAAGAAGTGGTCTTCTGAAGCTGTTTCCTGGTGGGGCCGAGAGCAGCTCTCCAGAGCGTTCCATGCACTCTGCCTTTCTGCTCTCACGGCTCTCGTCTGCATCTTGCTCTGCTCTGTTTCCTTTTCTCTCATCAGAACCCTCCCACTTCCCACATGTTTCTCACTCATGATGTCGGGTGGCCTGTCCCACTGCTCATCACGATGAATTCAGGCCCTGAAGTGCCCCGCTCCCTCTCACGTCTATCCTCTACGATGATGACAGGAAAAAAAAAAAAAGCCTTGTCCTTAACTCCAGACCGTTAGTTACAGGGTGTCACTTCACAATGAAGCCCTCAGGCTGCAGGTGGTGGGCGGTGGAGCCCTTCTGCAATCAGGTGGCAGGGGCTGCTGCAGAGCCACGCTGATGGAGCTCAGGGGTCTCAACCAGGTGCACTTTCTAGAACATGGGAGGTGGGCCTTGCCCAGCCCAGCTGACTCAGGCTGGGCGGAGTGTTTTTAGTTCTGAGCTTTGAGGGTCCACACACTGTTAGGCAAAAGACGGGTGTGGGTCATTTCATAGGCTATGAGGGAACAAACGGGGACCAGAGAGGGGAAGAAGCAAAGGTTCAGAGTAAGACACGCCTTGCATCAGCAGGAGTGTTTGAAGGCACAACAGGTGACTCTGGAGGGGGTGGTTCCCAGGAAAGGGTGGCCCCTTGAACCACACTTGTGTCATCTCAATATTTTAAGGATGATGGTCAGCAGGTTCTACATTGGGGCATCTCAGGGGCCACCCTGGTGTTTCAAGGAACAAAGCTCTAATTCTACTTGGCACCTTGGGATTCTCCAGAAGATTCCACTGACATGTTCTGAATGAATTTGTCTTTAAGAATGAAAAAAACTTTGAAAATCATTGACTTATAACAAGTACCTCAATCTCAAGATCTCCAAACAGCTCTGTGGAGAAGAAACCTACAGCAAAGAGGATATGTTTTTAATTAAAAAAAATAATTGTTTTTACCTTGATCAAGTTGTGAAATTTCTTATTTTGCTGCAGCAGCAATTTGTAATGACTGACCGCTTCACTGTGTCCACTACAAAAGACACCATATTTTTCTTTCATTCTTTCTCCATTTTCGCCTGAAAACTGAAGACAGACAGTGGAGATGTTACTGAAATGAAACATGAAAACCACCCGGGAAAGTTTTCTTCCAGTTCATCTGACTCTACTGATTCACTTGCAATTTCACTTTCTTCTCTAACACACACTCAGACACAGAGATGCTTCTTATGGGTGTCTCATGAAGAGGTGCAGGACAGGTAAAATGAGAAAACTTTCTGCTCATGGGCTTTAAGTCATTGCAGCAGCTGTAACAACTTCCTGAAATCTGAGGGAAAATAAATTTAAGCCAAAGAATGTTAGAAAAATTTAAAAGCAAAAGGGGTATTCTTTTAATTAATTTTAAAGAGCTGACTGAGAAATCTTGGAGCACTCTGAAGTCAGATGAGGGGTTATGAGATCCTCTGTCAATCTTGGCCAAGACTCAGAGGTGGACCCAGAAGTCAATTCAGGATCAGCCTCCCTCCCATGAATGGCTTTGGTTCATCGACACAGTTCTAACAGCCAAAAACACAGCCACCAAGACAAAAAAAAAAGACTAGTCAACCAACCAAAGAAAATCCCAAAATGCAACACTGGACAGTGACTGAACAAGTGTATTGCTATTTAGGCGTCTGTGGTGTTAGACCATTAGCTGCATGCACAGCTGAAAGGGTCCAGCACCACTGTCTTCTAGAGCTGCAGGCTCTCAACCAATGGGGGAAAAGGGTTCCTGGACCCAATTCCATTGTGGGCGTGGTCCCCCCCACATCAGTGATTCTCAGAAAATAGCAGGGTCTGACACTATCTACCTGGAGACAGCATCAGATTCCACAGGTTAAGGGTTCAGTTCCACAAAAATGTCTTCCTTCCCAAAACACCAGTTCCTGACTGATTCGCTATAAATCAGAGCTTCCCACCATCCCCTTCTTGGGTTAGATGAATTTGCTAGAGTGGCTCACAGGACTCAGAGAAAGACATGTTACTTACTAGATCACTGATCTGTCATAAAGGATATAACTCAGGAACAGCCAGATGGACCAGATGCGTAGGGCCAGGTATGGGGAAAGGGCACAGAGCTTCCATGACCTGCCCAGGCACCAACCTCCCCAAATCTCCATGTGTTCACAACCTACAAGCTCTCCAAGCTGTATTGGGTTATGGAGGCTTCACTACACAGGTAGTATTGATTAACTCACTGACTACTATCAATTGATTCAACTTCCAGCCGGTATTCTCACCTAAGGTTGGAGGGTGGGATGAAAGTTCCAACCCTCTAATCACATGGTTAGGTTCCCTAGCAATCAGATCCCGTCCTTAGGTTCTTTCTAAAAGTCACCTCACTCACATAACCAAAGACACCTTTATACTTTCTTCACTTAGGAAATTCCAAGGGTTTTGGGAGCTGAGCCAGGAGTGTGGATGAAGACCAAATATATATATTTCTTATGAATTATAATACTGCAGAGAGCTGTTTTTGTTACTGGGAGGAACTGAGCCAGGGCAGGGCCTTGTGCACCTGCTGTACCAGGAGGTCCCCGATTTCCTGGATGATGTAATTCCGGTTGCTGCCCTCTTCTAGGGACTCCTGGCGGCGTTCCTTCAGTCGAGAGAGAAAGTGGCTGTGCATCTCAAGCAGGTCATCTGCGCACGGGAAGAGGTGGCCAACGGCCTTGCTGCTGAACTGCAGCTCCTCCTGCAGGGCCCTGGAGTAGACCTTCAGCATGATCTTGAGCGTCCGCACGTGGTGTACCTCCGTCTGTATCAGCTCTGTGGGGACACGGACAACAGGACTTACCCATAGCAGGGACCACGCCCTGGCTTTGTTCCTTGTGTCCCACGGGGGCACTGTGTGTGCTGCCGCCCACCATGCAAAGGCCGACTTCTCGGTCTCTACCAAAGTCCTCGTCCTTGAGGCCTTACTGTCCAGGGGCCAGGCTTTCCCACCCCAGTGCTGCAGGGGTCCCAGCTTAAGGGAGCAGTGAGGGGTGGAGTGACATCAAGAAAGGAACCAGGATTTTTTTTTTGAGAGAGAGAAAGAGAGAGAAAGAGGAAGAAACATCAATGTGAGAGAGAAACGATCAGTTGCCTCCTGTGTGCGCCCCTACAGGGGATCGAACCCACAACCTAGGTATGCGCCCCGACTGGGTGGCTTAGTTGGCTGGAGCGCCATCCTATACACCGAAAAGTCTCGGGTTCAATTCCTGGCCAGGGCACATATCTAGGGTGCAGGTTTGGTCTCTGGCTGCGGCACATAGAGAGACAACCAATTGATGCTTCTCAATTACCTCAATGTTTCTCTCTCCCTTCCAGTACGTTGCCTTGGGCCTTTGTCACCCTGCTGAGAGGGGCCTGGAGAGATATACCTGTAACACCCAGTGCAGCCCTTGGCCTGGGGATGGGCTGTGTGTCTAGGAGCTGAAATTTTCATTGTAACCTGCAACATCCCATCTCAGGACAGTGGCTGCCCATGGCCAGGTTCTCTGACAGCCAATGGGAAGGGGCACCTACCATGAAGCTGGTGCTACGGTCACATAGGGAGAAAGGGACATGCTTCCCAAACACTTCAGTCATAGCCATGCTCAGGCCTTTCTTCTCTCTCAGGGTCACCAACAAGGTAAGGATGGGTCAGGCCTGTGCATTCGGCCATCCTTGTCTTGGGGATGTTCCTGGCTACCTCTTCCCTGGCCCAAAAAGCAAGGCTGTCAGCAGTGAAGCCCAGACCCCAGGTGGAGAAATTTGAAAAAAAGAAAGAAAAGAAGAAAGTGCTAGCATGGGGCCTAGGGTTTCTTACCGTAAAGCACATCCTGTCTCTTTACCACCTCCTTCTTTTGTTCCTTTGCGTACGCCGGGTCCACAGACAGACTCCAGGACTCAGCCTCGAAGCCGTGGGCATCCGCTTCGATCTCGCTCCGCAGTGAGGCAGTGCAGGGGTCTGGGGGAAGAGCAAGGGGCCACTGCTCAGGGCCCTCAGCCTGGCTGGCTCAGGGTGCCCCCTCTTCATCCCGTGAACAAACTGATGGGGGTCCCCACACGTCCCAGGGCGGAGGGAGACCCTGCATCACCAGTGAGGAATCGGGATGACTGTACCTTCTACCAAAATGGACTCAGCACTGGAGGGTGTAAGTGAAAGGGAGTCATCAGCCTGCTTAAGTTTAAAAACTACAGCATCAGCTTCATCCATCTCTCCTGTGACTGGTCTAAATAAAAATCATAAAAACAATTATTTTAAAATATTGAATTAAACATACACACCCCATTCTAAGAAGGCAAATTAGACTGTTAATCTGCTTAAATGCTATTTGAGAACTCTGTGGATTTCAATATAAGCCTTAACTTTGTCACAAGTCACTTTTGAAAATTAGAAGACTGTCAATGCAACATCAGGACTTCTTCTATCATAACGAATTTTAATGCTCAGAGTCAAAGTGTGGGTTAACTGTGTGCCTCCTTTACTGGCCGCTGAGCCCCCAAATTCCTTCAAACAAGAGTGAGGTGGACAAGGCCTCACTCAGTGGAGGGTGGAGGGAGGAACTTTCAGGGGAAAGAGACAATCAGCTCCTTTCCCTGCCATTCAAACAAGGGCTCCCACGATGACGTTTTCTTAGCCTAGGTTTCCTCCCTGAACACTACTGACAGCAATACTGAGTGAACCACCTTGCAGTCCTTGAAACGCTGGGTTAGGGCATAAATAACGAATGCAACCTCAATGGGACTTTTAGCCTCGTCTTGAGTAAAGAAAGGGACCCTGGACAAGGATCCTTCAAGAGCATGAAGCAAAAAAAAAAAAACAGTTCTGAAAAAAGGAAAAGGAATGACTCTGAAACAAGTGTTAATGGGAAATTCACCGCCTGGTTGGGGGCCCACAAGCAGATTCACAACGGAGGGTCTCCTTTCAGAGAGGCTGCCGGCAGGGTCCCTGTAGAATGCCACCCCCTAGGCTCCCTCCTTTCATTTGCATCTGACAGCAGAGACCACCCAGCTTACCCGAGTCTTGTCCCTGATCCCACTGGGCTGGGTGCTGGCTGTGGACCCCCTTTTTGCGAGACTGTCATGCCGACATTCCTGGACAGGGCCGGGCTGCCATCAGACAAGAGGGTGGCCCTCGGGTGCTCCTTCACGGACGCTGTGACAGAGGCAAAGACAGAGTTGGTGCTGAGAAAGTGGGCAGGGTAGTGGAGGTGGCCCGTCCTGAAGCCCTGCTCTGGCTGTGGCCGCAGCATGGACAGGATTCTGGAGGTCAGCAGCTCGTTATTTAGAAAGACATTCTCGCCCCATCTCCTGGGGAAGGAGCCATAGAAGGACAGCTCGGGGCCGCGCAGCGCAGGGTCTCTGCCTTTGGAATGCGCGTTCCCCATGTTCTCGGCTGGGGCTCCCAGGCTCAGGCGTGCGCTGTTTTATGCCTCCGTGGGATCCTTCTAGAAATGTGAAGCGGCGGCTGCTCTTACCGTATTGGCTGAAGCAGCAGCTCTGGAGGGCAGGAAATTGGTCCCTACTGTGACTGTTTAGGGGGCAAATCGCACTGCATTTTTTCCCTTGGTAAAATAACAGCAATGAAGCATCCTGACACCCCTTCCGTCTTAGCGGGGAGTCAAAAGCGAGAGCAGTTCTGTTCACGGTAAAGCTAAGATCATGAAACAGGGAGCTCTGTGCTTGATGTGGTTTGTGCTGACCACACACACACACACACACACACACACACACACACGGGCTCAGAGGCCACAGGGTGTGGTATTAGTGCGTGCACCACAGTTTGTAAGAACTCTGGTAGCATCTAACCACCAAGTGGAACGCAGGCTCTGATCCTATTTCATATGGTGACTGTAAACCAACCTAACAAACAACGGGACCCAAAGGATCCACTCTCATCTGCTCATCAATTTAAGAGCTAAGCTACTAGGAAGAACAGAGCCTGTGATTACCTTTCACACTGATGGAAAGATGCAACTCTTTGAAAACCAAGCCATCACTAATTAGGCTGGTTTCCCTTCCTACTCAACAGGTCAACCATTTCACTTAAGCCTAGTTGAGCCAGGCTGCTTGGTTAATTTATTCTCAGGGTGAAAGCCACGTCTGAAAGCTTTGTTCCAAGGCCAAAAGCGGCATAAAAGAAATCTGTTCGGTGGCCCTCCCGACCTGGCTCCTGGGTCCCCAAAGCACCCATCCATCAAGGTTTCTCTATGTTACACGAAGAAAGCAGCTGGAACTCTGGTCTCAGAAGCAGGGAGACTGTCACCCTTGGGGTGGGCACAGGGCTGGCCTTAGAAGAAACTGTACTTCTTTGAGAAGCTTTACTGGGGAGAGAGATTCATCAAGCTGAGTGAGGTTTAATTTTGGTGGAAGTTTAGGGAGGCTGCCAGTGTGCAGGTGGGCATGTGTCCAAGGGGACACCTCTGGAGGAGTGATGAGAAAGCCCATACACTGAGACCAGCACTAAGTGGTGCTGCGCCGGACTATACGCAGAAAGTGCACTGTCCCGGCTACCCCTTCTTTAACGCAGCTCAGCGTGGTGAGGATGCCACCGGGGCAGGGACCCCCCAACATCATGACATGATCATAGTGGCTAGCAATCACCACTGTAGTATCCAAAGTGATGAAGCTGTCACTCATACAAACTCCCAGTACAAAGGTGAAATCATAAAATCGAGGCCTTCATGGTCCAGACCAGGCATTTCCTGCCACTTCTCGACCACACTAAACTCCAGCAGGCAACTATGACCTTATTGTGCAAATATGAGACAGAACCTGAAACGCATCCTTTGCCTAGCATTCCAGTATGACTGACACATTGTTCCTGTGACTTCTTTCAGAAGCCTGAAGGTCTTGCCCCAAGTGGGATGGATTCCACTTTAATCAAATATCCACAGAAGGAAAAGACTCTCTAAGAATCACTGGTTCCAAAGGTTATCAAAGGTTGTTCTAAAGGTTGATCATCTGTTTCCCTAATGGAGGAGACAGTGCATCCCACAAACAGGTAAAGGAATCATTTTTTCATGAAATTTTACTTAGTCATAAAAAGGAAAGACAATCTAATACACACTACAACACTGATGAACCTTGAGGACATTACACTCAATGAAATAAGCCAGTCGCAAAAGGACAGATATTGTAGGATTCTACTCATATGAGGTTCCTAGAGCAGCAATTTTCAAATGGTGTGCCACAAGAATTTTTAAAACATGCAACACCTATTTAGTCAGGGGCACTGAGTAAATAAATGACAACAGCCAATACAGTAACACCCATCTGGTGTGCATGAATCAAAATTATACGTGTTTTTTTGGTCAGATCAGCAAAATATATATTTTTTGGTGTGCCAGGATTTTACTAATTAGATTTTGTATGCCAGGAGATGAAAAAGGTTGAAAATCGCTATCCTAGGGGAGTCAGATCCATAGAGACAGAAAGCAGACAGTGGGAGCCGGGGGGGAGGGGTACGCAAAGTTGGTGTTTAATGGGGACAGAGCTTCAGTTTGAAAGGTGAGAAAGTTCTGGAGATGAACGATGGGGATGGTTGTATGACAATGTACTAATACCACTATTAGTTGTATGACAATGTACTAATACCACTATATTTTATCACTATTAAAAAAAAGAAATGGCCCAGCCGGGCGTGGCTCAGTGGTTAAGCATCAACCTAGGATCCAGGCGATCAGGGTTCGATTTCCGGTCAGGGCACATGCCCGGGTTGCGGGCTGCAGCCGATCAATGACTCTCTCATCACTGATGTTTCTATCTCTCTCTCTCCCTCTCCCTTCCTCTCTCTGAAATCAATAAAGATATATTGGAAAAAAAAAGAAAAAAGAAATGATTGTTTCTTTGGGGTGGTGGAATGCTTCTGTATTTTGACTGTAGTGTTGGTTACTTAAATCTATACATGGGATAAAATTTCATAAAACTATATACTCTCCTTTCCCCTACAAGAGTACACGTAACAACCGGCAAAATCTAAATAGGGTCTATCTTCAAGTTAATAATATTGTACCAATATAAGTGCTCTGGTTTTGACAATGGATTATGGTTACATTAGATTATCATTGGGAGACACTCTGTGGTGGGTACACAGGGACTCTTCTATTTGGTAACTTCTGTGACTCTCAAACCATTTCAAAATAAAGTTACAGTTGAGCCCGGCCAGTGTGGCTCAGTTGGTTGAGCACTGTCCCATGCACCAAGAGGTCACCGCTTCGATTCCTGGTCAGGCACATGCCCAGGTTGTGGGCTTGCTCCCCAGTAGGGGGAATGCAGGAGGCACCTGATTGATGTCTCGCTCTCACGGATGTGTCTATCTCTCCCTCTTCCTTCCCCCCTTGCTCTAAAATCAATTAAAACATTTAAAAAAAAGTTACAGATGATTCTCATTATTCACAGTAGCGATGTTCTAAAAAGTCACAGCGGACACTGAATTAGGGAATGCTGAACCACTGCTTGTAGCACAAACACAGGGTTAGGGTCCTGTCAGTTTCTAGCCACACTTTTTTAGCAGCCAGTCAATACATCACATTGTGTTTCTGTGTTTCTGTTAAATGATACCTTACTTCATACACACTGTCAATCCATTAACACTGAACTCATGCCCAACAGCACTGTAATCGTGTCTGAGGGTGGTGTGTCTGTCACATAAATTTCTACGTAAGGCACACTGCAGCCTCCTTGCTTCAGGAACACTAGACAGCACTGCTCTTGGGGACATTTTAAACAGCGAGATCAGCAACAAGACTACAAAAATGAGAAAAAAACTGCATTAAGTACACTGCAAAAAGGGCACTTTGCAAGAGGGAGGCAAAGTGTTGCCATGTCCCGTCTTTGCTGGGAATGTGTACACTGGGCGACTCAATTTTTTGGCTGTTCTGCAAGTCTGCAAAGGACCTTGAAACCCCCTAAGTATCAATTTTAGCACATAAGTGAATTCATAAATACAGAATCTGCGAATAATGAGGACCCACTATATTAAGTGTTAAATGAGAAGCTACTGTATTTTAGAACACCTGTATTTGCTGAACACACACCACAGAGCACTGATATTCTTTGATTTTCTTTCTAATTCATTATACATACACTTCCAAAAAGTATCTGAGATGGCCTTTTATTTGGGGGGAACTTCTTACAGGAAGTTTAATGATGTCCATTTGGTAGCAAAGTGACCTACTGAGATAAACTATTCCTCTTCCCCTGCAGCAGTCTAACCACCACACCCCTCAAGCTGCTTAAGGCTTTCAAAATAAGAGACACACAGTCACCAATCGAATCTCTGTTGCACACACAGCCTTGGAAATAACTGCTTGATCAAGACACGAATTACACAGGTCAGCTGTATGGATCATGACTTTTTATTCTGTACTTTTGATGGTCTGACCTGAGGCGCAGCTTACCAGGAAGGACTGCCCCTGCTCCCAGGGGTAGCGAGTTCCTAGAGATAGGAAGGACTCACCTCAAGAGCTCCTTTCACACGCACACCAACCAATCCAGAGCAACACCCCCAACCACCTCCTTTGCGGAGCTCTCGCACTTAGGGTCACTATCCATCTGCCTTAATCATTAATCACCCTGGGTCCCTGGGCCCCAGAGCCCTCTGAAATTATGCACAGGGGCCAATCCTAATTCCATTAACCCTGCCTCACCCTTTCATCCCCATGGAAACCACAATCAAGACTCTGCGGCTCCCCCCTCCATCCCTCTGCTTCTTGATAGACCCTGGTGGTTCCCTGCGTGGCCCTGATACAGGCTACGATGAGGGTGAACCTGGAAAATACGCTGAGTGAAAGAGGTAAGCCACAGAAGGCCACCTATTACAGGATTCCCTCTACAGGGAATGTGCAGAAGAGGCAAATCCACAGAGCCAGACAGCAGATTAATAGGTGCCTAGGTCTGGGGGAAGACTGGAGGGTGACAGCTAGTGGGTGTGGGGTTTCTTTTTTAGGGTTCTAAAATTAACTGCATTGACTCTGAATATACTAAAAGCCACTGAATTGTACACTTAAGTGGCTGAATTGGATAGTATGTGAATTACATCTTGATAAAGCTATTAAACAAATTCTGGTGAGGACCAGCCATCTGCAGGAGAACAAGCTGTTTGCTTTGTAGCTCAACACAGTGTGAGTCAGTCGCCGTGATCTTGGCTGTGAGACAGAAACACACATTTATCCTGCGATCCCGTTTTCCTAACGCAGACAGCCACGGGGGGACAGATGGGCAGCGGTGTGGTGCTGGGTCCAGCCCCAGAGTGGA